GTGTGTATGTGTGTGTGTGAGCTAAGACGCAGAAGTAAGATAGGTTTTTGTGAATGCGAGAGCTAGCATCGAAGGAAGAGAGTCAGGGTAAGCAAAGAAGAAGCGGTCGACGAGCTCTAACCAAGGCCGATGTTGAGAGAGGTCATGGAAGATAAAGGTAGAGAAACGGATGATAAAGGAATGGAAGGTTGAGGTGTCGATGGGTGGCTGAAATTGAGCGGCGGTAGAGAAGGTGGTGCCTGATTGGTTGCGGGAGATTGAGAAAGTGAATGGTGAAGCAATGGATAAGGTAGTGGTGGTGGTGGTAGTAGAGAGATCTTCATCTCTATCTCCATCATGATCTTCATCTTCTTTGACTTGGAAAACAATTTGAACTGATCACTTTCTCTTCTCTCTTCTCTCTTTTTATATATATGCACACACACACATACACACACACATATATATATATATATGTAAATGAGAATTTGATTTGAATAGATAAAAAAATAAACAGATAAAAAAATGCAAACATATCAGTCTCTCTCTCCTCTCTACATACATTTGTGTGTATATATATCACAATTTAAACAAATAAAAAAAATTAAACAGATACGGGAAAAATAGGCTTGTGAAATTCAATATATATGGGAAATATGCTTGGTGAATTTCAACAGATAGGGAAAAATAAGCTTGAATTTCAACAGATAAGGGAAAAATAATTGAATAGATATGTTCAAAAAAATTGAACAGATAAAAAAGTTTCAACATAAAGGTTAAAGGGTAAAATTGAAAATAAAATGCTCTCCAAAATAAAAAAATTTACTTCTCACCAAAATATTCTACAAATAGTGTACTTCTCACTAAAAACAAACACTCATGGGATCTAACGCCTACACCCTCTTTAAAATGAACTTTTCACAAATTTTCTCTAAATTATATTGATCTCCCATGAGATTTGAAGATAATACGGCAAGCCTCACATTTCGCCATTGTGACACCAATTGCCCTTTTAATGAGGCTAAAAGGATCAAGGTTTATGTTGACAGTGTGAAGATATAAGGATTAAAATATATATATATATATATATATATAAAATATTCATTCCAATATAAAGTAGATGATAATATTATTTTTTTTATTCATATAACTAATGAATTATTGATGAAAATAGGTCAAATGTTATGTGAATTAAAACCTTAGGAGAGTCTAATATAATTCAATCAAATTTATGGAGTTTATTATATTTTTTCCAAACTTAATGAGTGGTTAGTGTAATTTATTCTAAATAAAAAAAATATAGGGTAAATTACATTGACACCCATTGAGATTTGGTCCAATTACTACCCATCCCCTGATATTTTCGAAATTACGTTCCCATCCCTGTGGTTAATATTCTCATTTCACAAACCCCCTTGTTTATATAAAATGTAACAACTCCTAGTAGAAAAATAGAGAAAATTACATTTAAAAAAAAAAGAGTAAAGGAAATGGAAAAAAAAAGAGCAAGTAAAACAAAGTAAAAAAAGAGAAAGTGCACGAGTTCAATATCTTCATTCCGTCTAAATAATTACAATGACAGGGAATTAGTGTAATTTTCCAAACGTCAGGGGGTGATATGTATTAAACCCAAATCTCAGGGGTTGTGGGTGTAATTTACCCAAAAATATACATACCTTTTTATTTTTAAAAGAAAAAAAAAATAAAAGTGACATGTATATCTTGTACAAATAAATTGACCCAATAAAATTAATGCTATAAACTAAGTTATAAAACAGTTGGAGATCATCATATTATACGTTGTAAAATCTTGATGAAGTAAAAAATTAATAAGTAATTCTCATAAAATTATGGGATCATTCCATTACATATTTTATAAATATACACATAAACTATAGAGGTATTATTCTAGTTTTGAAGACCTGGGGGAAACCCGGGCGTCCGGATCCTCCGGAGTGATCCTATGAAGTGATCCTCTAGAGTGATCCTTCATGGAGTGACACGTGTCCCATTAACGGAACCAATGGCTGAGATGATGCCTAGACAAAACGACGTCGTTTTGGTACCCAAAAAAAAAAATAAATTCAAAGTTTGCAGATCGAGAGAGAGGATGAGGAAGAAGAAAGTGGATTTGAGAGAAACTGGGTTTGAGAGAAAATTGGTGTATTTGCAGAGAAAATAGGTTTGAGAGATGAAGAAGAAAATGGGTTTGAGGGAAAATAGGTGTATTTGTGGAGAAAATGGGTTTGAGAGATGAAGAAAAAAATGGGTTTGAGAGATGAAGAAGAAAATGGAACTTCTTGGGTTTGAGAGCAGGTCTAAGGGTGTTGAACGGGTTTAGTTTGGCAGTGACCCAGATCGGATTCCGGGCACATATTGGATTGCTTGTCTGTGTGATTCATTGTACACTACAAGAAACTTGACTTTTAGCGGCGTTTCAAAAACGCCGCTATAGGCTTGATAACTGCCACAATAGGTTTTTGCGACGTTTAATATTTTCTTCGTAGATACGGCCGCCGCAATAGCTTAACAGCGTTTTAAAAGCGTCGCTAAAAACATTAGACGACGTTTAATCTTTAATAGCCACTTCCACTTCCATCACAATTAATGTATGACGTAATGATGACATCATTTAGTGGCGTTTTTGAAAAAACGCCACCTTTCTTCATTTTTAATACTTGCCTCAAATGTGATGTCATGATGACATCATTTAGTGACATTTTTTTCCCAAAAAGAGCCCCCCCTTTTTTTTTTAAAAAAAGAACACAACCCAATTAATTGAGAATTTAACTAAGAATAGAGAATGTAAAGGCTAGTTTGGCATGTACTAAATAAGCCAAAAAGTCAAAAAGTCACTATCTTATTTAAGTCACATCATCTTATTTAAATCACATCACCTCTCTAACACATCACATCAAACCCAACCCAAACCCAACCCAAACCCACCAATAAGTCAAAAAGTGCACTTTTTTAGGACATCCCAAACCAACCCTAAATTTAACTAGGAACAGAGATTAAGAATTGACTAATAATTAATATAAAAGAACACAAATTGGCTCAAATTTGAATTACAATGCCAAATTGAAGACCATAAAAATTCTAATTTATATCCTTAGAAATTTAATGCTACAACTTCTCGAAAGATAACCCTTTTGTTGTTTGGATTGATGTATGAAAGTGTTATCATTCTCTTTCACTAAGGCTTCATATTTTGCCCTCTTCTTACACACTGGAAAATCAGTTCTTCACAGCATTATCAGTTTTGTAAGCATAGATGAAGAAATTAATTTGTAATTACCACGAACTTTTCCAATGCCAAGCAAGAAATAAAACATTACAACTTTATATACCTCCTTGAGACCACTTTGGCTATTTCAGTCCATCTGTTACCAAATACTTTTCGAGCCTACAGTGGATCTTAAGATATCAAATTCCCACAGATAATAATGGAGAAATAATTATCTAATTTTGAAATACACTTGGTATTATCTGTTGGACCATTGGAGACAACAAAACAAATGAACTCAAAGAAAATTTAAGGAAATTAATGATTGAACAAAGATAGTGTTACATATATATTTCAAAAGAAAATATATCAATAATAGTAATAGAAACGAAAAACTAGCTTGTCAGTATTGATATATTGCGACTTTTGAGTTCAGAAAGCATCAATTTTACCTCACATAAGAGCAAGTTTTCCTCTGGAGACCACCCCCTTTCTTGAAATCAGAATTCAAGTAAGTGTACCATCTGCAATGGTATGTCACATCAACATTGGGGTTAGACTAAAAAACAGAAAATTAAAGAATTATTGGAAGACAAAGGAGATAATAAATTTTAAAAAAATCATGTTTTTATAAAATAATTAACCTTCTGCTACATTGCCTGGTTGATTTATCCTTGAATTTTGATGCAATGATTGCCCAACTACACATGTAAAACACAACATAACCTATCAAATTCATTCATCAAACAAACAACCTTTCATACATTATGAGCAAGTTCAAATCCCTGATTTGTACAAATCAAAGTACAATATAAATAGGAATTTACCTGACAAGTTCCCACAATCAACTCTATAGTTTTTGGTGCAAACTTGCCAATTATGTTGCAAGTACCCAATGAGTAAATCCAAGAAAGCTTTATATGTTTTGTTTTTGTTCGATAAAATTCCTTAAAAACCTCAACACATTTCACCAAGAGAGAGAGGAAAGGAGGAAGTCAGATACGATAATCCCTCTCTTGATGATGATGATAATAATAATAATAATAATAATAATAATAATAATAATAATAATAATAATGACATCACCCCTTCTTGGTATCAAAAGAGGCACCTCAAGTTTCATCAACTTGGTAAACTGCACCCAAAAAAACATGGAAAAAGGCATTTAGCATCGCTTGGTATTTCCTAAAAGCATTTTTGATGATGCAAAGTGATATGCCCTTAATATAGTACTATACGATCCATATTTAAACAAACATAGAAAACAGATAAATAAAATGGCAATTCTACAAGCATGTTTGGAAGCATGAAGACAAGTGCATTTTGACACAAATGGGTACCCACACATCCACATATATGCAATGATATCAACCAAATTACTGATAAGCTAGTTTAAGAGAATACAAATATTATGTTCCATTACCTCCAAGCAACCATTCTCTATCAGATATTACAGCGATTGACAAGGGAATATCTTCATTCTTCAAAGATTTTTGAATATTACTAATGGTTTCCTTTAAGACATCATAGTCCATGGGGTTCCCAATCTGTGAATATAAAAAATCATGACGGATTTGAAGGAATGTAAAGAAGGTATTCCAAACTTATATTAAATAATAATAATAATAAAGAGAAGACGAAGACGAAGAAGAAGAAGAAGAAGAAGAAGAAAGAAAGAAAGAACGAAGATGAATAGTTCTAACCATATTGATGAAACAGTACCCGGTGGGAAACCCGGACATTCTTGAGCTTGCCTTGACCAGCAAGGCTGCTTGCCTTGTTTTTATCATCCATCGGCACATCTGACAATATTTCCTATACATACATGGATCTTAAAAAAATAAAATTTCAAGCAACATATTTAAAATCTAAGAACTTAATGTACGATCTAAGACACTAATATATCTTGTGTCTGATTTCAAAAGAGGTGAAAAGCAAACCAATACAACAACAACAACAACAACAACAACAACAAAAAGAAGAAGAAGAAGAAGAAGAAGAAGAAGTAGAATGAATGAATGATGATGTCATTCTATTGATGGCTGATGCAGATCCACATGTATTAAAAAAAAATGATAACTCAGTATTCGGCCCAATGGACCAACTAATCTTATGAGATGTTTTATGCTATGATGTCTTAAAGGAAACCAAATTTATAAAAGTTTCCTCCAAATTTTAAAGGAACGAAATAAAATCTTATTATTGTATATGACCTCAAACAAAATAGCAGATATGATGAAGTTTCTTAAAGAACATTAGAACATACCAATACACTACCAGGTTCAAGATAATTATCAAATTCTTCAATCATTTCTGCAACATCAGGGCGCCATCCAAGCAGTAGTATACATTCTTTTGGTCCTAGACTCCAATCTGATGCCTACAAACAAAACTCAACATAAATATACTCCAAATCGTTGTTTTAACCATGAGATTTTACAGATCTTGAGTGAACTTAGTGAATCCAAGTCAGAAAACACTTACCTTGAGCCCTAGATCGATTTAGATCAGAGGGATTTGAACAATCTCGAAGATATACGCTCAAGAAAAGATGGAGAACAAGCTTTTCTACCTCAAAGTAACTTCGCATCTCCACCAAGGAAGACAGAAATTTACAGATCATACATAAAAATCGATTATACATAAGAAAAAAAAATAATAATAATAAACCTTTTTCCCAACCCGATCTACCATGAAATTTACAGATTTATAAAATCATAAACCTTTTCTCATACCTAATCTACCACGTCTCTAATTTCAACCAGATCTAGCAAAAAATAGAACCAAAAAAGAGAAAGAAAAAAAATTATGAAATTAGAGATCTAGAGAACAGATTTGATACCTTAAAGGCCTGAGGAGCAACATCCCAACCCAAACGCGGTCTTTTTCTGGGACGACAATCCATGTCCGCGTGTGGAAACTCGACCACATGTTCCATCTCCATGATCGAACGCAGATAGATCCAAACAGAGTTTAGAGAGAGAGAAATTTGCAGAGAGATCGAAGAGAGAAGAAGAGAATCGAAGAATGATAATAATCTGATCTGAGATGAATAACAGATCGAGATCAAGTTCGAGTTCGATGAAGAACAACTTGAGCAAAGTCCTAGAGTGACAGAGATCGATGTTTGACCGAGGAATGCAGATCGATGTTCGATTACGACAGAGAGGAGTGGTGTGTGAGAGACTGAGAGAGAGTGATGTCTGTGAGAGTGAGATATGAGTGTAAGAATGAGAGAGATGGACCATGACGGAGATACGAGTGTGAGAGAGTGAGATCTGTTAAGTGACTTTTCTTTTTCTTTTTTTAATGTAAAATACGCAAAACACTAAAAAATGGCGTTTTTTTTTAAATGATGTTGTATAAACGTTGTTGTATGCCAATTTTCTTGTAGTGCTATTGCGATGAATCCCAAGAGTGCTGTGGACTTGTGTGTGTGTGCGCGTGCTAATCTTGTAAAGTAATCTTCGGAAATGTGGGGGTGAAACATAAATCTGGTTTTCTGAATAAGATTCATGGGGACTTGTTTCAGTTGTGAAGAAGAACAACAACATCAACAACTAAAGAATGAACCTCTTAAAAACCTCCCAGATATCAAGTGTTTTCATTTATTTCCAGTGATTTCTTTTTTTACTTTTTATTTGTTACATTTTAAATAAATAAATAATATATATATTTTGCCCATCAAATTTGTTGTCTGTTAACTATGGTCCTTTTTGGTATTCTCTAAGAGTGGAATACAATTTAGAGCTAAAGATTGATAGATAGATAGATAGACCCATTTTCTCTCAAACCCATTTTCTTCTTCATCTCTCAAACCCATTTTCTTCTTCATCTCTCAAACCCATTTTCTCTGCAAATACACCTATTTTCTCTCAAACCCATTTTCTTCTTTATCTCTCAAACCCATTTTCTCTGCAAATACACCAATTTTCTCTCAAACCCAGTTTCTCTCAAATCCAGTTTCTTCTTCCTCATCCTCTCTCTCGATCTGCAAACTCTGAATTTTTTTTTTTTTTTTTGTGGGTACCAAAACGACGTCATTTTGTCTAGGCATCATCTCAGCCATTGGTTTCGTTAATGGGACACGTGTCGCTCTATGAAGGATCACTCTAGAGGATCACTTCACAAGATCACTCTAGAGGATCCGGACGTGAACCCCGGTATCTCAATGGTTCTGTCTCGGCTTGTGGCGGGCACACAGATGATATAAAACAGCCTATGTTGTAAGTTTTGTACTAAAAATTATTTAGGTGAGAAATTAATTTAATCAGACAACTATAAATATATAAATAAATTGTATTTTATTTTTTAAAATGAATAATTTAAATTTATATTATATTTGTTGTTTATTTTATAAAATAAAAATAAAAATTTGTTCTCATATTTATAATTGCCGAATAGGCTCCGTTTGGCAAGAGTTAAATGGGGCTTTTTTGGCTATTTTAGCCACAAAAGACAAAATAGGCTATTTTAGCCACAAAAAATAAAATATCACATCCAACCCATAATCATTACATTCTTCTCTCACAAAAAAATTTAAAAAAGTCAAAAAGCCAAAAAGTCCTTCCCAAACCAAACTTTTTAGCCCAGGTTAAAATAGTCAAAAAAGCTAAAAAGCTAAAAAGCTAAAAAGCCAACTCACTTTCTAAACGGAGGCTAATTTTTTTTCACCAGAACTAATTATAGGGTGAAACTTACTAAGACCATCTCCAACAGTGAACCAAACCTGGTATCAAATTTAAAATTTGGTGAAAAAGTCACTTTTTTAAGCTCCAACGGTTTCACCAAATCAATATCAAATCCAGAATTTAGCAAAAATGGTACCAAACTGAGTGCAGGCGAAACATTTCACCAAATCACTGTTCCTAACCGTTGGGATGAGACGAACGGGTCGACCATCCGGTTGACCAACCGGTCGCCCCGGAGAAAGTTCAGACCATTCACAAAAAGGTTCAAACCAGTCAAAAAAAAAAAAAAAATTTGCCTAACCACCAAAAGTTCAAAAAGTTCAAAAAAAAAGGTTCAAACCGGTAAAAAAAATATATATATTTTTTTTTGCCGTTACCGGTTGACCGGCCGGTCAACCAACCGGTTGCCCAGCGCAAATTTGATGAAACGGATTTGATGTTGAACCGTTGGAGCGCGAAGTATCAAATTAAAGAAATGACCCCTTTTTGACTCAAATTTGGTGAAACATTTCGTACACCGTTGGAGATGCTCTATGTAAGCAATTTGAATCATTAGCGTCGATTTGGGTTGGTGCCCACAAGAATATAAAGTGATAAAAGTATGAACGTGAGTTTTTCTCGGAAAATCAAATGAATACAGTGCGGCGGTGCAGTCAGGGACCCACATGTAATGAATACAGTGCGGCGGCGAAGTCAGGGGACCCACATGTGATACATTGCCTGTTATATAATGTTGTTCAGTTTCCGATTGAAGCTCAATATATAAATAAAGAGAGATGATTTCAGTTATGGATGCTGTGATCTCAAATGACGCAAAATCGAGATCATCAACGCAAGTGATCAGAACGAGGTTTTTGGAAACAATCTTGATAATTTCTTTCTTATTCGCCGCATTTCTCTTAGTCATTCCTTACCAATACGAAAATGGCAACCCTGTTCCCACCGTGATATTCAACGGCATCCCCTCTTCCGGGTTTCATGCATTTGTTGTATCGCTCCTGTATGCCTTCACCGGCGCCCTCACCGCTTTGTTAATTCATGACACCACCGCCGGCTCATTTCTTGCTAGATTTTGTGAGCTTGTTTCAATCCTTTGTATGACATCGGCTGTGTCTTTGTTCGTTTGGTCCCTCTTCACTCTCAGTTTTCCAAAGCCATTTATGGGATTGGGAAGAACGTAATAGAGGTGATAATTTACTTTTCTTCTTTTTCCTATACTTTTGACATTTTTTCAATTGATTTGAATTTGATCTGAATTTATAATCTTGTGTCAATTAATTTATTTCATCTAAGTAAAATTGATAATATCCGTTAGTATTTTTTGTTTTTAAATATGCACTACGTGTCATGTTTTTAAAGATAAAATTGTAACTCGGTGATTAGTTTTTATTAAAAATCTTATTTGGTATTATCTATTAAACTAAATTGACAAAAAATTAAAATTAATGATCAAAATCAAACTAATTAAAATTGCAAATACCAAAATAATATACGAAACAAAATACAGGGATTATCCTTTCTTTTTTTTTTATTTGTTTGTTTGTTTGTTTTTTTTTTTTTTTAACAATTTTTATTTTTGCACCTCCTCACCCAAAACAGAATTCTAAAATTCAATTATATATCAACTGATATAATACATAACGACTTAAATTGTGTTTGTTTGCATATTATAGAGTGATTTTAGTTAGTTATGAAATTACATAAAAATTCTTGTTTTATTGAAGGTGTTTGTTGTTTTATAAATTGAGGAACAAAATAGTTTTTTCACCTCCAATTTCTTCGGATTAGATTTTAATACCACCTCTCATGGGATTACTAACCCCCTCTTTAAAGGAGTTTCATAGTCCATGAGACTCTTAATCCTATTGCAAATTTTGAAAACAAACATGACCTGAGAGCTGTATGTGGAGCTCTTTGAATAAATAATTCTTCTTCTTTTTTCTTTTTTCTTTTTTTTTTTTTTTATAAAATACTTCTTTATCATGAAAATCATTTGTTAATAAAATTTATTGAACAGAGTACGTAGATCTGGGGATTAACTGTGCAAGTCCCATAATTCAAATCATTTCAATTTCTGCAAAAATTCTTTCTGTACTCCTTCCGTTCCAAAATATTAGTCCCATATTCCATTTTTCATTGTCCCAAAATATTAGTCCCTCTTCAAAAATCAAGTACAAAAATAATGTAAATTTCTTATTTTGCCCGTCTTTTAAATTAATAAACAATATAAAAAGTACAATTATGACATTGATATTCCCAAAAAATGTACTATCAAAAGGGTAATTTTGGAAAATCAACTTTTCTGGTATTAGTTATTTATAGATGAATTGTTGTAATTATTTTGGAGGCGTTACAGTATCTAAAAAAGTAAAAAAAATTACTTAAAATTTTAAAAATATTCACTAAAAAAAAAAATGATAAAAAGCTGTTTTGATCACATAACTATCGATATCCGATCAACGTGATCTTTTACAGACATATAGTACTCGACGAGTTCTATTTGTATTAAAAATTTTTTTTTTTTTTTTTTTTTTTTTTTGTGGGTACCAAAACGACGTCATTTTGTCTAGGCATCATCTCAGCCATTGGTTTCGTTAATGGGACACGTGTCGCTCTATGAAGGATCACTCTAGAGGATCACTTCACAAGATCACTCTAGAGGATCCGGACGTGAACCCCGGTATCTCAATGGTTCTGTCTCGGCTTGTGGCGGGCACACAGATGATATAAAACAGCCTATGTTGTAAGTTTTGTACTAAAAATTATTTAGGTGAGAAATTAATTTAATCAGACAACTATAAATATATAAATAAATTGTATTTTATTTTTTTAAATGAATAATTTAAATTTATATTATATTTGTTGTTTATTTTATAAAATAAAAATAAAAATTTGTTCTCATATTTATAATTGCCGAATAGGCTCCGTTTGGCAAGAGTTAAATGGGGCTTTTTTGGCTATTTTAGCCACAAAAGACAAAATAGGCTATTTTAGCCACAAAAAATAAAATATCACATCCAACCCATAATCATTACATTCTTCTCTCACAAAAAAATTTAAAAAAGTCAAAAAGCCAAAAAGTCCTTCCCAAACCAAACTTTTTAGCCCAGGTTAAAATAGTCAAAAAAGCTAAAAAGCTAAAAAGCTAAAAAGCCAACTCACTTTCTAAACGGAGGCTAATTTTTTTTCACCAGAACTAATTATAGGGTGAAACTTACTAAGACCATCTCCAACAGTGAACCAAACCTGGTATCAAATTTAAAATTTGGTGAAAAAGTCACTTTTTTAAGCTCCAACGGTTTCACCAAATCGATATCAAATCAGAATTTAGGAAAAATGGTACCAAACTGAGTGCAGGCGAAGCATTTCACCAAATCACTGTTCCTAACCGTTGGGATGAGACGAACGGGTCGACCATCCGGTTGACCAACCGGTCGCCCCGGAGAAAGTTCAGACCATTCACAAAAAGGTTCAAACTAGTCAAAAAAAAAAAAATTTGCTCCAAAAGTTCAAAAAGTTCAAAAAAAAAAAGGTTCAAACCGGTAAAAAAAAATATATATTTTTTTGCCGTTACCGGTTGACTGGCCGGTCAACCAACCGGTTGCCCAACGCAAATTTGATGAAACGGATTTGATGTTGAACCGTTGGAGCGCGAAATATCAAATTAAAGAAATGACCCCTTTTTGACTCAGATTTGGTGAAACATTTCGTACACCGTTGAAGATGCTCTATGTAAGCAATTTGAATCATTAGCGTCGATTTGGGTTGGTGCCCACAAGAATATAAAGTGATAAAAGTATGAAAGTGAGTTTTTCTCGGAAAATCAAATGAATACAGTGCGGCGGTGCAGTCAGGGACCCACATGTAATGAATACAGTGCGGCGGCGCAGTCAGGGGACCCACATGTGATACATTGCCTGTTATATAATGTTGTTCAGTTTCGGATTGAAGCTCAATATATAAATAAAGAGAGATGATTTCAGTTATGGATGCTGTGATCTCAAATGACGCAAAATCGAGATCATCAACGCAAGTGATCAGAACGAGGTTTTTGGAAACAATCTTGATAATTTCTTTCTTATTCGCCGCATTTCTCTTAGTCATTCCTTACCAATACGAAAATGGCAACCCTGTTCCCACCGTGATATTCAACGGCATCCCCTCTTCCGGGTTTCATGCATTTGTTGTATCGCTCCTGTATGCCTTCACCGGCGCCCTCACCGCTTTGTTAATTCATGACACCACCGCCGGCTCATTTCTTGCTAGATTTTGTGAGCTTGTTTCAATCCTTTGTATGACATCGGCTGTGTCTTTGTTCGTTTGGTCCCTCTTCACTCTCAGTTTTCCAAAGCCATTTATGGGATTGGGAAGAACGTAATAGAGGTGATAATTTACTTTTCTTCTTTTTCCTATACTTTTGACATTTTTTCAATTGATTTGAATTTGATCTGAATTTATAATCTTGTGTCAATTAATTTATTTCATCTAAGTAAAATTGATAATATCCGTTAGTATTTTTTGTTTTTAAGGGGTTGTTTGGCATAGACTATATAATCCATCTTTTTATCTTTTTTCCATCACATCACCTCTCTACTTTTCTGCACATCTTTTCGTAAAAAGACAAAAAGTGCACTTTTTTAGGACACCCCAAACCAATCCTTAAATATGCACTACGTGCCATGTTTTTAAAGATAAAATTGTAACTCGCTGATTAGTTTTTATTAAAAATCTTATTTGGTATTATCTATTAAACCAAATTGACAAAAAATTAAAATTAATGATCAAAATCAAGCTAATTAAAATTGCAAATACCAAAATAATATACGAAACAAAATACAGGGATTATCCTTTCTTTTTTTTTTATTTGTTTGTTTGTTTGTTTTTTTTTTTTTTTAACAATTATTATTTTAGCACCTCCTCACCCAAAACAGAATTCTAAAATTCAATTATATATCAACTGATATAATACATAACGACTTACATTTGCAACCATGGCGGCTCCTCCTTCCCTCCCCCTCAGCAACTTCTACCATCTTGTTTATGAGGTTTTTTTTTGGGTGGGGGATTATTAGTGGGATGGTATTAGGTTACAAATATAATATAAATTGTGTTTGTTTGCATATTATAGAGTGATTTTAGTTAGTTATGAAATTACATAAAAATTCTTGTTTTATAGAAGGTGTTTGTTGTTTTATAAATTGAGGAACAAAATAGTTTTTTCACCTCCAATTTCTTCGGATTAGATTTTAATACCACCTCTCATGGGATTACTAACCCCCTCTTTAAAGGAGTTTCATAGTCCATGAGACTCTTAGCCTCTGTTTGGCAAGTGAGGTTGGAGGCTTTTTTGGCTATTTTAGCCACAAAAAACAAAATAGGCTATTTTAGCCATAACAAACAAAACATCACATCCAACCCATAATCATTACATTCTTCTCTCACAAAAAAACTCAAAAAATAGTTTTTTCACCTCCAATTTCTTCGGATTAGATTTTAATACCACCTCTCATGGGATTACTAACCCCCTCTTTAAAGGAGTTTCATAGTCCATGAGACTCTTAATCCTATTGCAAATTTTGAAAACAAACATGACCTGAGAGCTGTATGTGGAGCTCTTTGAATAAATAATTCTTCTTCTTTTTTCTTTTTTCTTTTTTTTTTTTTTTATAAAATACTTCTTTATCATGAAAATCATTTGTTAATAAAATTTATTGAACAGAGTACGTAGATCTGGGGATTAACTGTGCAAGTCCCATAATTCAAATCATTTCAATTTCTGCAAAAATTCTTTCTGTACTCCTTCCGTTCCAAAATATTAGTCCCATATTCCATTTTTCATTGTCCCAAAATATTAGTCCCTCTTCAAAAATCAAGTACAAAAATAATGTAAATTTCTTATTTTGCCCGTCTTTTAAATTAATAAACAATATAAAAAGTACAATTATGACATTGATATTCCCAAAAAATGTACTATCAAAAGGGTAATTTTGAAAAATTAACTTTTTTTCAAATGCAATAATTGTACTACCAAAAAAAGTTGAATTCCACAAAAGGGACCAATATTTTAGGACGAAGGGAGTATTTCATTTTCTTCTTTTTCTTTTACTTTTTCTTTTCATTCTTCTTCTTTTTCTTTAGTTGAGAAATAATAAGTTGAATGAATTGAGGGGGACGAAAAAGAAGGAAAGAGAGGTTGAGGAAAGGGAGAGATCATTCTTTTACAAGTCTGGGTAAATAAAAATTGTAACTACAATCATTTTGAGTATGTTTTACATCATACAAATCTTAAATCTACTTTAAATATTTTAGGTAAATTATATTAAATTTTCTTAAACTATAACTTATTTGCATTTTTGTTCTCTCTTATTTCAAAACTCAACCGCCTAAAGTATTACTAACTTGTTTCACTCAGCACTTTCTATTAAGATTTTGTTAGAAATTTAAACGAATCATATTATAAGTGAAGCACATGACATACTTATTAATTTCTTAGGACAATATTACTCTTATTTGGTGATCTCATTTGTACTTCATCTCCCTTATTTGAGTGGCAAGTACAAACGGGCTCACCAAATAAAAACATTCAGTATGTTTGGTTTGAGTTTTTTAGATTAAGTTTTTTAAAAATTAACTTTTTTGATTTTCGTGTTTTTTTTTTTTTAGTGAATGTGTTTTAAATTTTAAACATTTTTTTTTTATTTTTTTAGATACACATTACTTAGATGTATCTAAAAAGTAAAAAATTTGTGAAAAAATATTTTAAAAAAATTAATAAATACATAAAAATACAAAAAATGTATTGAATTCTTATAATTTTTTTTTATATTTTTGGTATTTAGTGAATTTTTAAAAGATTTTTTTTATAATTTTTTTTTTTACTTTTTAGGTGTATTTATGTTAGGTGTGTCTAAAAAGTAAAAAAAATTGCTTAAAATATTAAAAAAATTCAGTAAAAATAAAAAAAAACACGAAAATTAAGAGAGTAGAATTTTTTGAAAAGTATTTTTTGAAAAGTGAAAACAAGCAAGGTTATTGTTTTGAAAATTTAGTAAGTATTTCATATAGTTTACACATGACTTAACGTTATGTAAATCCCTAACAGAAAAGATTAATTGTAAGAAGGTAATATTTCAAGATGATTAATTGTTGATTTTGAAATTAGAGAGCAAAGTGCGAATGAATTAGGAGATTTATTGTAATTTATCCAATATTTTGTTTCTGAGATAACTTCCCAAACAAAAATTCATGGTACATAGCACTTTTCCTCAACAAACTAGGCCTAGTTTAATCGATTACCATGATTTTCTTAAAAGTTTAATCCATAAAAAAAGATCATAGATTCAACTCTCCTTAGAAGTTGGGGTTCAACTCTTCTTAGGGGAAGTTGAATTAAGGGGACAAACACTTAGCCCATTTATAAAGAGAGGGGAGACTAACTCCCCTAAATGATAATCTAATAACCAACAATTGACTTTTACCGATAAAAAAAAAAAATTAAAGATAGCACTTTTTTTCTAATTCAATAAATAAATAAAAGCAGTGATAGAAGAGAAATTATTTGATAGTTTTAAAATATTCTTTTTCACTATTCATGTTATCATAATTGTCATATTGTGTCTCAAAAATAAAAATATATCCTATTATTCTATTATATAAAGTAAAAGTTTGAGTTGTTGTCTTGAAATCTTCGGCTCTGTTTGATAGAGTTTTAGAACGTTAGTTCCAGGCTTTGATTTGCACATTGTGTTTGTTTACGATTTTCAAAAATTAATTCAACACTCATTTTTGAAAACTCTATCTAATGCGAGAAAATTTGCGCTAACCAGTGAAAAAATATATATATTTCTACTCAAAAAATATATATTTAGATTGCGCACAATATGTGTGTTTTCCTTCTATTAGTATAAAAGTGACCTTTTAACTAATAAATTTCAAATGAGTCTAGCTTTGGTCCAGTCCACCATCGGACTGGACCGTGCTGTTGGACCAATAGGAGCCCACCACGAGTCCCGTTGTGAAAATCTGAACCGTTCAATATGTAGGACTCGTCGCGTACTATATGCCTGAAAAATATCACGTTGATCGGATATCGATAGCTATGTGATTAAATCCTTTTTGTATAAAAAAAAATGGCCGGTGAATAAATTAACGGTTGATAAAAAAACTGTTTTGATCACATAACTATCGATATCCGATCAACGTGATCTTTTACAGACATATAGTACTCGACGAGTTCTACACATTGAACGGTTCAGATTTTTAAAACGGGACAAGTGGTGGACCTCCAAGAGCCCAACAGCACAGTCCAATCCGATGGTAGACTGGACCAAAATCAGGCCCATTTCAAATTAAGACACCACGTCCACTTGTCACAAGAATATTACATAAATTTCGGTGACATAAACTTAAAAACACAAAACAAGTAACATATCTCTCAACCTCTGAACCCACCACGAATTTGGGAATTGAGGTTACTGTTGTGGCAAATGCACAGCAGTGACTGTTGTGCTTCATTTTGTGATGTATTATCGGATTATTTTTATGATCTGAACCGTTCATTTTGTAAGGTTTGTTGAGTACTTCAAGCCTACCAAAAATCATATTAATCGGATACCAATAACTATATGATTGATAACCAAAAAAACAAACAAGAAGTTTTTCTTTGGAAAAATAGTATAAAAAAATACAATTCGATCATATAGTTGTTGATATCTGATTAATATGATTTTTGGTAGGCTTGAAGTACTCAACAAATCCTACAAAATGAACGGTTCAGATCATAAAAATAAACCCATAATGCATCACAAAATGACACACAACAGTCACTGCACTGCGTTTGCCACAACAGTGACCCCAAGTCTCCCGAGTTGTTGTCTCTACATAGATTGTCGGTGTGAAGTGTTCTTGGATCTGGATTTTTTTTTAATATCTTTTTTATTCCGTTATCATTCAACAATTAATTTAAATATCACAATTCAACAATTAATAATTACCAATAGTTATAACCTTTGAATTAACTATTAAATAATGACTGAATAAATAAAGTGTTGGAAATGATAAAATTTCTTTTACCCCAGCTTGATCAACGTGGGTGGCTCCTAAAGAAGATTCCTTGCTTGGGAATATGCTTTGTGACGCAGTAAAGTAAGATGCAAAGTTGAAGGGAGAATTGCAAAAAATTAGTATCATATTACATCATATGCAAACAATTTAAAATTTACAAGTAAATCTTATATTTATAATTATTTTTAATTGTTACTATGTTTTTGTGATATTGTTCCAAAATTTAAAAGTTCGCAATTGAGACTATGTTCGAGAACCAAATATTTTAATTAAAAAATTAAAAAAAATATTTTAAATTGTTAAATTATTCTCTTTATTTTTTTATATATATTTTTATAAAAAAAATTAAAAATCAATTCTCAAACCAGTCCGAATTTGATTTTACCGAGTGGAAATAGGTTGGTTGCTTTCCCATGTGCCCGAATAATTCCCAACCCACCGAAATGGCCCACCATTTTCTCTCAGCATTAATTCCTCCGTCCACTCAACCAAAAGTCAGTAGCAATTGGTTGGTTGCTTTCCCATGTGCCCGAATAATTCCCAACCCACCGAAATGGCCCACCGGCGCAGTGGCCTTTTAGCTACGGCATAGGGAAAAAGTCAGAGATGCAAATTGATAGGGCATCACCTTTTTAGTGTGAGGCCAATTAAAATCTAGATAAAGCCTCGTATGAATTGTTTCAAGAAATTATTTATACTTAATGGTTATGTTTAATTCACAAAATTAATAGTAAAGTATTAATAATCTTATTAAATTAATGTTATTCTTATCATACTTGTTATGTTTTTCATCAATAAAGCTTTTCTTTTGCCGATCAAAAAAATATTCACTATTTAATTGGATTAATATTCATTGGATTAATAATCTCACCCCTACCACATTACTAATAATCTTACAAATTTGTTGGATTAGTTATTCATTAGATTAATAATCCTAAATAAAAAATGTTAAAACAAACATAGGATAATTAGGCACACGAATTAATAATGTCAATCCCATACTCTAATCCACCCAATCAAACATGCCCAATGGGTTTTTAACGTTAGACTTACAAGGAATCACACATCTAAGCTCCAAGTCTTGACCACCGGGTTTATTTGTTCAAAGTTTATCTTTTTGTCTATCTATTCAAATATCACTTACATGTACATGTGTTAAATATTTGTTCAAATGTTCAATTATTATTCAAATGTCACTTATTTATATATATATCACCTTTCATTCACCTATTTATTCAATGTCATATTTGTTTACTTCACTATCACCTGCTATCGTCACCTGCCAATGTCCGCCAGTTGTCGACAACAATAACTTTTTCGATGACTTTTTAACATGTATCATTATCATTTAAAAAAGATTAAATCTTAAATTAAATAACACATGACCCTATAAAACTAAATTTTTCACCAATTAAACCTAAATAAAATGTGACTATCTAAAAGTATAAAAAAAAAATAAATAAACCCTAAATAAAATGTATTTGGTGCGTTTGTTAGAAATGCTTTTCATTCACCTAATTCGCCAAATTTGGTGAGTTAGGTGAGCCATCTACTCACTCACAACTGAAATGGATGCAAGTCACCAAATTCTCTATATTATTCAACCACCGACCGGCAGATTGGGTAGGAAAACGGGTTAAATGATTTTGGCAAAGTTACAAATAAAACTTTGGAGTTTGACTATTTTAATAAAATAATTTTTTTATTTTAAATTTTATTAATTTTAATTTTTTGATTTATTTTTAATTTAAATTATTTGTCTATTTTCGACAAGTAAAAATGATTAAAAAATAATATTTTAATAATTAAATTTAATGTAAGTATACATAAAATATTTAAAATGCTTTTTTTTCATTAATTTAATGATTAAAATATCATTTTTCTATTAGTTTTACTTAATAGAAATAAGAAGATGATTTGAATTGAAAATAAATTAAAAAAATTTAAATTTAAATTGATAAAATTAAAAATTAAAAATTTGTTTTGTTACAAGTGTAAAATCCCGACAATTTTTTATTTATTTATTTTTAAATTTCCCCATTGGTTTTTCATTCAAACCAGTCAATGGCTGCTAATGTATACTCTTTTTTTTTTTTTTTTTTCATATTGAACTTTCGTGAAATTTAAAAAATATATATTAAATTTTATAAGTTTGATACAATTACGTTGAATTTGTTTAATATTCTAATTCACATAACAACTTATATATACTTTTATTTATAAAAAAAAAAGTTGTGATTTATTTTATCCTAAGCGACATGTTTTTTTTCATATTTATTCATGTGTTTACACAATAAATAAACTAATTTTAATTGTTTCAACTTTATAAAACAAATTAATATAATTATGTCAAATTTATAAATTTTAGGGTGAAACACCAATAAATTCTAAAATGTGATCTTATGAACTGTTTAGTCCTTTCTTTTTTCTTATGAACTCAAAGGTCCTATTAAAGTGGAAATTACATAAAAGGATAATCACTTTCATGTTTGGATTTAATTTTTTATGGATAAAAGTGGATTTCTCAAAATATAAAATTATATATTTGGACAATTTGCACTATAGAAATTTTGAATTTTCCGTCATTCTAGAATAAATTCCACATTACGAACAAAAACCTAACACTCTAATGTAAGACTCTCATAACGTAGCTCTTCAATATAACATATTAAAAAACTCATTGGTGTATTTTTTTCAAACATAACAACGTAGCATTAAAAAAAAAAAAATACTTGGTATACTTTTTCCAAACATAACGTTCCAATGTAACATAAAAAAAAAAAAAAAATTCTTAGTGTACTTTTTTTAAACGTAACATTCCAATCAATGTAATTCCAAACGTAACACTCTAATATAATATACTCTTATGTAACACATAAAAACACTAAAAAAAACTCATTAATGTACCATTTTCAAACGTAACACTTATTATTTGAATTTATACATTTGTCCAAAACTTACAAAAGAATATTTGTACTCCTTTTGAATGGTTTGAAGAATCTCACATTCCTTTTTTTTTTTTTTTAAGTATTACATTGGAGTGTTACGTGTTGGAAAAATATATTAAGAATTTTTTATTTTTTATTTTTTGTTGTTACATTGGAGCGTTACGTTTGGAAAAAATATATCAAAGAGCTTTTTTTTTAATTTTTTTGTGTGTGTTATGTTTGAAAAAAGTATACTGAGGGGTTTTTTTGTGTGTTACATTATGATATTATACTAAGGAGTTTTTGTATGTTACATTAAAGTGTTATACTAAGGAATCTTTTTAGAGTATTATATTATAATGTTACATTTGAAAAAAATACACTAAGAAATTTTTTTGTGTGTTACGTTAAAATGTTACACTAAGGAGTTTTTGTGTATGTTACATCAGAGTGTTACACTAAGAAATTTTTTTAGAGTGTTATATTAGAGTGTTACATTTGGAGAAAAATACACGAAGAATTTTTTTTGTGTGTTACACTAGAGTGTTACACTAAGGAGTTTTTTGGAGTGTTATATTGGAGTGTTACGTTTGGAAAAAATACAACAAGGAGTTTTTTTTATGTGTTACATTAGGGTATTACTGTGATAACCCTGTTCTGTATTATGCTAATGGGTCCTTATTATGAATGTGATTATGTGTTTGATATGATTTGGTGTGCTATTTGTATGAATATATGTGGTTTTGAATTTCTATCTATTTACCGTAGGAATATCTGTTTGATTATCTGTTTTGGAATTTAAATTGAAGGCCTTATCGGCCACAAAACCCGAAATTGATTACGCCCTTGTAATTAGCGTAATTTTTAGAGCCTACGGTAAAATTTAATTGAAAATTAATTCGGATCAAATTAATTAGATTAAATTAATGGTGTAGTGCTCAAATTATTTAATATTAATAATTGTGATTAGTGGAACATATATAAAAAGAGCCACTTTCACACAATTCCTCTATTTTGTTCAAATTCAGCTGATATTAACTCTAAGGAGAGGGAGTGAGGGTCGGCTATAGAGAGACAAGGGGAGAATTGTGCAATTTTGGCTCAAGGCTTGGGAATTTGAAGTTAAACTCCAAGAACTTGAGTGTTTGAAGCTCCTAGGTAAGTAATCAACCCTTAATTCATGAGTTTGAGTTGTGGTTTTGTGAATTGAAGATTAATTGGTGAATTAGATCATGAATTGAGTTGGTTTTGTTGAATTGGAAGTCAATATGCACATGCATGTGAGAAATTGCTTTGAATTTGCATGTTTGAGCACAAAATGTATAATCCATGTGAGATTTTAGTTAAAGCTCATATTTTTTACCATCTCTTCATCATCTAAGTTGAGAATGAGAGTAACATATCACATGCATGTACAATTCATAAGTATATGAGTTTTGAATACATGAGTTTGTTATGTTGGAAATAAGTTTGGTGTAAATTGGGACATGCATGCGATTAATTTGTGAGATTGAGCTTCATAATGTAATAAATTTGGTGTTGGACCATGTTGATACATGTATATGTGAAGTTTGAGCCATAATATGCAAGATATGCTAATTTGAATGTTGAACTTGAGCTCAAGAACAGTTCTGGAATTTCCAGAATTTGGGATGTTCGCTCGAGCAGGGAAGGCGCCGCTCAAGCGGGAGCTGAGAGCTCCCAGTATTTTTGTAGACATGGACGTCCGCTCGAGTGGGGAAGTTCACGCTCGAGCGAGGGAGCTATATAGAATGACCTTCAGCTCGAGCGTCTGAGTTCACGCTTGAGCGTAAAAATAATGTAACCAGTACTTTTACAAACCTCATGGGTCCACTCGAGCGGGGAAGTCTACGCTTGAGCGAGGGACCCTTGTTTATGAAATTTTGAAAATGCATTCCGTGCTTCGTTTTTCGTTCTTTTTCACTTCTAAGTACTCTTAGGCATGCATCGAGCATTATAAATGAATTAAAAGAATAAGAAAGAAGCCTAAAGAGGGATGTGTGAATTAAGAATGAATTTGATTGTTTGTGACCCATTGTGTTCATGGAATGTGTAGGGTCGAGCTCCAGGGCAAATCATCCAGCCGATCACTGTGAGTAATATCTTAATAAAGATATTTTGAAATATGTCGTTTGTCCAATTGCTTATCTCTCTATAAGTTTTATGAGTTTGTTGATTTGAATTGTGGACAAATGTTTGCTATGCCAAATGGTTGGGCCTAAGGCCGTTTGCTATAGATGAATGGGC